ACACACACACACACACACACACACACACACACAGAGGGAAAGAGAGTCAATTAGTTAACTATTTGGAGGATAATAAATTATTAGAAGAGTGCCAATCAGGATTTAGAGAGAGAGTCTCATGTGAGACTGCCCTTCAATGGGTTATATCGAATTGGAAAAGAAGTATAAATGAAAGAAAGATGATAAGAGTATTTTTAGATTTAAAAAGAGCGTTTGAATTAGTAGACAGAGATATTTTGTTAAAAAAAAAATGGAAAGTTATAGGATAACAGGGATAGTACTTAGTTGATTTAAAAGTTATTTAGAAAACAGAACTCAGAGAGTTAAATTTAATGGAAGTTTGTCAGAATCTATTGCTGTGAGTTCCATAGGGATCAGTATTAGGATTACGTTATTATTTTTACTCTATATAAATGACTTGACAAGAGTTGTTTGTGGCAATTGTGAAATTAGATTATTCGCAGATGATGCACTAATATATACAATAGACCATACAAGTCAAGAAATAAATAATAATCTTAATGTACAGATAATATACAGCAAAAAATTGAGAAATGGTTGAAAAATTATAGACTGAAATCAAATGTGAATAAAATCAAAGTTATGCTAGTTAGAGATATTAGGAAAAAAGTATCGGAAAGCAATATAAAAGTAAAACTAGAAAATATAGCATTAGAAGTGGTTAGTGAAATTAAATACTTAGGTGTCATTATAGATAGAAATTTAAATTTTGCAGCATATGTTAACCTAGAGAAAAAGATAGGATCGAAATTGGAGGCATTTCGTCGAATTAGTATGAATTTGACACTATGAGGTGTGTTGTATACAAAGCGATAATTGCTCCAAATATTGTTTGTCTATATGACTGAGTTTAAACGATTATAATGTGCAGTATTTACAGAAATTGCAAAATAAGGGAATGACAATTATATTACGATGCAATTACAAAACAAGAATTGAAGGCATGCTTGAGGCATTGCAATTGAAGGCATGTCAATTAAGGAAAGAATGGAATACAATGTTTGTATTTTGATACATAAAATAGTAAATAGAAATTGTTTTATTTAACGGGTTATTTAAAAAATAAGATAGAGCAAGTAAGAAGAGAGGAAGGAGTACAAACAAAGAAGATCAGAGGAAAATATATATATTAAAAGATGTAAAAGAGGAACAGAGAATGTTGTTATATGATGGATTTAAAATGTAAAACAATTTTACCTAATGAAATAAGAAAAGAAAAAAGATTAAAAAACTTTAAGAGAGCGCTAGTGCCATATATAAGAAGTGCAGAGGGATAGTGCAATGTAGATATAAGATGTTTAAGTCTGGCAGTTTGGATAATTAATAAATAGGCAATATATTAGATTGTATCACACATTGTAGCTATTAAAGCTAATAAAGATCAATCAATCAATCTCCCCCCCTCTCTCTCTCCCTCTCTCTCTCTGTTTCAATTTTAAAGTTATGAAAATTTACGACGACAAATAATATCTCTTTGCAGTGATGCACATTATACAATTACTTTATACAATTATGATTTTTCTTTAAAAGCACAACCTTTAAATATTCAATATATGTTGAAAAACATAAACATTATGGCAAGAAAAAGCCTCGCTCTAGCTTATAGCAACATTTTTTTTCAGCATAGACTTCAGATAGCAAAAGCCATTAATCAGTTCAATTAAAAAAATTATTCATTTTAAAGATAACTATCCAGCAAAAATTGAACACAAATTTAATACAAATGATTTCTGAAAACTTTGTATTTTAATATATTATACAAAAATTCATCTTAAATATAATTTTAAAATAAAAATTGCATATTGAGATAAATATTTTTTTATTTGACAATTACAAATCAATTTACCATTTTTAAATTAAACTAAAAATAGTTATGAAGGTATTGAATAATAAAAATTTTCGCAAAAATTGAGTTTTGTTAATTCGTATTTGTTGCTGAAAAATTGTTAAAATATCTACATTTTTATTCACGGTTAGTTACTTTTAAACAGTAACTCGTTGCCCTGTTACCATTGTGTTTTTTATTTCCGACGTTTTGTGTATATCAGCCGCACCAGCTTGTCTAGCATTCAGATCGCGAAATGCAAAATAAGGCCCAAATGTTTATGCGATTGAGAGCTTACAACTGCGTAAGAGATTGCGCGACGACAATTCGGATAGATCGATTGCGATTAGCGCGCGGACGTTAAGGTATATTTCTTCGGCTACAATTACGCTAAAAAGTTAATCGTGTACTATGAATGTGCTCTCTCTGCGCGTGCTCTCTGAAGAGAGAAACTTTTGAGATGAGCATAAATGTATCGTATCTGTGTGCACGAACACTAGTCCGCACTAAAGACAATTGAAATGTGGCAACATGTCTCTGTCTCGCTGCTTGGCGTGCGAGAAGGTGAATTTCATCAAATTACAAATTTAAAGTACTCTAATTCAGAAACGGCACCACTAAGCCATCCCATTTTTTTATAAGATTCCAATCATATTTCTACATTACATATTTATTTTTTTTTTTTAATCTGTAGAAGATTTTCGCCGCAAAGTTAATATTAGGTGTAGTAAAAAGTCATCGCGTTTTTTTAAAAGACATCTATCAGTAAAAACCGCAATTACTTTCTTACCAATATAAATATATCTTGATAGAGTAAAGATTCAGCTTTAAAAATCTCTTTTTTAAATTATACGATACGACAATTTTTAATGGAGTTATGAGCAATTAAAGTCAAAATAATTCTTTTATTTAATCCGCGATAACTCAGTAATCAAAAGTCGTAGGAATATTTAAAAAAAACGATTTTGTAGGGAAAGTATCAAGCTTTCACGATATGTAATCGAAAATTTTCTCAAATTCGTTTTGGACACGTTACAAATCCACAAAGTGAGAAGAAAATTTTTCGTCTTTTTCAGCTCGTAGTTTTTGGTATGTAAAAATTATCAAACTCATATAAACTTAAAAAATGTGATAAGCTTTTAAAAGTAGAGATTTCAAACTTTAAAACCCTTTTTTTAAATTTGAATTTCATTCATTATTGACGAAGATATTGTATATACAACTTTGAGCTAAAAAATACGCGATGACTTTTTACTACACCTAATTATATATTATTTCGACAAGGCTTAATATAGGAGTTTACGTAAGAGAAACTCTTTGAAGGTGGATATCTCCATTTCGGCACCGCTAGGGTCTTTGAAATTTAACTATATATAGATAAAATTATTTTAAACATAATATCCAAATTTCAAAAAAATCTATAGAAACTCAATTTTTTTTCTCGAAGAAATACCTTAAATTTCTTTATAAAACATCTTACTCGCACGCAACATTTGGGTTGCCTTAATTAGTAATTATCCTCAATAGTAATCATGAGACATCAGACTATATATATAAATATCTAGTAAGCAACAGTAAGAATAATTGTTATCAGACAAGACAAAATATGAATAGAACACTTATATTTATAACTTATAAATTTTAAGTCAGTTTAGAAAAAAGAGTGATTATAGTGACTCATTTTAGACGATAGTGACTTTCAGTACCTTATTAAAGAAAAGTAACAAAAGTGAGTTAATTAAATGAGATAGCTAAATGAGATAGCTAAATATTATTCTTATTTATATTTGTACGAATTTATATTTGTTTGCATATAAATAAATTAGCATAGATAAATGAAATAAAGAGTTGGAAAAAGTCAGACATAGTGTACAGTTTACAAATATAGATCGTCGACCATCCGACCATCGACACTGCATCTGTTTGGAATTGGAAATTCAAGGTGATCCGGTGTGCAGGCCACGAACGCTGGCAACGTTGCGGCGATTTAACGGTAGTAGTTTCATATCAGTATATATCCTACTCCGGACGAGGATGGCTATGTAGTGGTAAAGACGGTCGGTTATATTCGAGAAAACACAGACTTTAGTATTGTGCACGTTCTCGAGTTGGTCGCTCACAAATCTTATCATGCAGGAGAAGGTAATATCGCTGGCACATCGAGCGATAACTGTATACACTTTCTGCTTTTATTATTCTCTTCTCTCTCTCTCTCTCTCTCTCTCTCTCTCTCTCTTTCTCTCTCTCAAATATATATGCGTAACATACATTTTTCTTTCCTTTTTTTTTACTTTTTCAGCTATTTTCAGTGTTATTACAGTGACCGTCGCCGGATTTCAGATTTGAAGCGTGCCGCGAGTACGGTTTCGATCCTGCGCTCTTCGCTTTTTCGAGGCGTTCGATCAGGCCACGAGACATCCATTTTGACAGTACGACAGCAAGATCGTGTAGAACACGCGCAACAGCCATACGTCTATTTTCGTTGGTTATCAAGAGGCGTATGAATTTCACGTTACAGTTGTGCAGAAGATAATACCTATACATTTCCGTACGTTATCTCGCACAGAGTATCTTTAAGAGTACGGCGTGGGCGCGGCGCATCATGGCGGTGGAATCAAGGTAAATACACGAAAAGCTCATACGACATGCGCCGGTAAATGCTGTATTCTAAACGCGAATGACCTTTGATGGGACAACAGTAACTTAGTGCACAAGGGCATAATTATTCATGCAGATGGTTTGGATTCGATCATTAGCCATTTAAATTTTGTAAAAGGATGGTAGAAATAGATAGGAATATGAAATACGTCGCGCTTTGACAAACTTTAAAAGAGAATAATAGCATCGCGTAAAATTAAATACTCTCATACAAAAGATTTCTATATACATTTCAATGCTGTATAAGCATAAATTTATTATGCTTTCAAAGGTTTTACATTTGAAAGATTCGAGTTTATATATCTTAGTGCTTTAAATTTCTATCATATCTACCTCCAATCTTTCGCTGTATTTTCTGAAATGAGAATAACTATTGTTGTTATTTTTCGACTTGTATTATATATTAATTGTCGAAAATATCAGGTGGTATATTGAGTTGTTCCTATAACTGTGCGCTTTAATTAATAAGTAATTCGTAATTTCATCGTAAATTGTAGATTCTTGGTGAATAATTAGGTAGTCTATGTCGAAAACGTGACGTAAACATATTTGCTTGCGAATTCGCGCGAACTCATGAGAAATGCGAATTTCTCTAAGCCAATGTTGGTTCGTTTCGCACTGTTACGCGAGATCCAGTGGTGCCCAACTGTTTCGAAGCTGCAAAGTTTCCGGCATCATTAGCTCGTAACTTAGAATACGCTCCTGATTGATTGCATATTGTGCATGCACTTGATAGAAGTAAGTTTCATTCATTAGCAGCTGAGATAAGTAGATATTAAAATCCAATAAAATATAATAGTTTTCACAATGTTATTTTTATTTCTTTCTTAACTCAAATTATGCAAGACTTGATGTTGTTGACTTGTTTCTTTTCTAAAACTTTTGACATATATAATGATTCATGAAACTGATCAAATCGTTATTGTTACAAATTTCTTTTAAAAATTCGTAAACAGAGATAATTATAGCAAGATCATAAATGCTTATACATATCTTATGTTGATGCTGCGATAGTACATTTGATCAGTTTTGAGTCATTATATACTTGACTTTACAAATCATGTTTTAATATATTTGAGCATGAATAATAAAATTGGTAACAATAAAAAGCAATAAATATATTTTGTTGATGAATTTATAAAATTAGCAATATAATGTATTCCTTACTTCATTAATTTATTTAAATACTTTAGTTTATATGGGAGTACTTTATTGGAACTTTTAATCGAATCCATAGATATATGCGTATGCTACGTATATTTTTTATGATATTTCCAATTTTATTCCTAATTATATGAACAACTCATATGTACTCGTATGTGTAAAATCAAATATTAGTACTAACATTCGTGTAGTAATAAAAGTAAAATATTATTCATCAAGATATTACGCGCTTACACTTAACTCTCTCTCTTTACTTAAGTATAACCTAATAATTCCTAAAGGCTCGCGTTTTTCTTAATTTTTCCATTCTTTAAGCCATTGTTAGTTTTGGCAAATACTAGATGCAGTTAGATAGTGGTAAATTCCAGAGTAAATTATTGGCGAATCGTGCATAAACTGCACGAAGCGAGTTCATAGAAACACCTGATGGTAGCAATGATCGTAGATCTACGAAGACTTCATTATCTCTGCGTGATGTATATACACACACACACACACACACACACACACACACGCTCACGAGAGCGCGAGAAAGCATTATTGTCTGTTAGATTATGTTCGTAATCGATCGATGTTCGATTTACCGCGTGTACGATATCATGTGTACTCTTGAGATTTATTATCTTCCATAGAATTCAACGTTATTGTGCCCGAATTGTGACCAGTCAGTATTGACTAGATTGATTTCGCGTGTGGGAAAACCTGTTAAAAATATGTTAGAATGTGATATACAAATATGAAAACTCTATTAGACCAGGTTAAAATAAGGTCTGGTTAATTGCTATCGTTGCAAAAGAACATTTCAAACTTGTGATAAAATATTTTTTAATTAAACTGTGTATCTTTCGATTGTGATATAGAATCTAAATTAAATTTAATCATCGATTTTATTTAACGAAACACTTCACTTCTATATTAATTACACATAGATAGCATAGTTAGGATAAGTATTTTTCATTTCTGGCTCTCTCTCACACACACACACACACACACACACACAAAACAGATAATTCTGTATCGATGCTAGAGATGTTACAAGATACTTTGAAAGATGTTATGTAAGAATGTTTTCATAGCAACTCGCTGGCACCATTTTTCGAAATTATCTTAAAAAATTTTCGTACATTTCATGCAGTACATTTCCTATAAAGTATATGTGCACACCTACTTCTCTAATATTTTCTTTTCTTTTGTATAAAAAGAATCTTTGTAGTATTATGGCAAGAGGTTTATGTAGCCCTTTTAGATGTATATAACAATATTTGTATAGACTTTATATAAACTTTCTTACTCTGGAATATGAACGTTTACATATCAACTAACATATTCTACAATTATATTATCTTTAGTTTTTTACTCATCTCTATATGTTACATGTTCAAATATATATATCATACACTAAATCCGAGATAAAAACATATAAAATACATTATTTAATAATTTTTTATATAAATATTCGCGTATTCTATAAATATTTAAATATCATTTTAATAATAACAATTTTCGACTATTTAGATCTAAGCAATTTAGCAGTGACTACTTTCGTCTGTGAAAGTGATGCTAGAGATATTGTTAATATAATGTATTCAACATTGAATTTGCGCTCAGTAATCTTATCCAACGATTATATTCATCTAAATTATTAAACCATTTTGTTCTTCAAGTCGCACATTTAATAATACGTATCTTCATTTTAGTGCTAAATGTAAAAGAAGATAACGATATTTATAGTTACCGTCATCGATAAGAATACTATATATTTTACAGAATATTTATATAGTTGCAACACAGTACTCCAACAGAATTTATCTTCCAACAAAATGTCGTATCTATGATTAAATAAATTAAGTTGAATTTACAAAATATTAACAATATTATATTTTCACCGTTATTTATAATTTTATTTAAATTTAATATGTTGATTTTTACATTTAATAAAATACAATAAATAAAAACAAAATGAAAATAATTTTTAGTCTCAAATTATTATTATGAAAGAATATTTGTTAACATACAAACAAAAATACTAATATAGTAGAGAGCGCCTAGGACCGGTCAAAGTTAGATGTTTCGAATAATATAATTCTTGGTTCATGAATTTAATTTATCTCAAATGTGCGCCGAAACGTTCGGATATTTAAACACAATCAATCTGAGATACTAAAAAAATATTAATTATAATCTTTTTCTATTTTGTTAACTTGTTCCCTCTCCAAGTAATAAGCTATTTAATATAATTTAATACAATGGCATTTGATATTAAAAACATAAAATATGTAAAATTAATAAATAAGATATTATAAATATGATATAAAAATAAAAATGTTTTAAATACGCTTACTATTATAACGATCCATCTTTAAAAAAGTTGATAATAGATTATTTGTATTAGAAATAATATACAAGATGAAACAAGATCTTTCTCTCTCTCACACACACACACACACACACACACACACACACACACACACACACACACACACACACACAAAATAAAAATGATTTCCCAAGTTAATAAACTCCAGGACTATTAAAATCTATATCCATTGAAATACGTGTCCACTGTACTAAATAAATAATAGTATCGATATCATTTAAAAATATTATAACAAAATCAACGTAAATTATGTGAGAACAAAAGGTTTTCTCTGACTTTTATCATAATAAATAATGTTATTTTATATAAAATGATATTTATAAATGCTCGAAAATGCAAAACATGTGCATGAATGCTTGAACTTTAAAGAATAAATGAAAGTGAATGGAAATAAATCACAAAATTAAATAATAAGGGAAAAAGAAACTTTTAAATTGTTTTAACATTATATTCGGTTTAATAGCTGTGTGTCAATTTTAGACTGTAATATTTATCTTTTAACGTTTGCGTTACTAATTCGTCATAAAGTATTATATGGTGATTTTATTTCTTTTCACATACGAATATTCAGTTCGCTCTCTTATGTGATTTTATCCGAGCAAAAATAAGGAGAAATTGCAAATATGAAAAGACAGATGTATGGGTAAACATCCCCGCAGAGAAAATCAAATGCGACACTGTCCCATAAACACTGCAAGATACATCGAAAAATAAATGTAGAAATTTTATATCTCCTATTTGTGATTCTGTTTGAGAGATTTTGTACATAATTTTACTGAAAATACGCGCACAAAATTTCGAATATAATTATAGAAATAATACGAATAACAGTTAAAATTTGTTTACAAAAACATTTATATTTATAAAAATGAAATTAAAACATTTGCATTTATTCTTCTATATACAATATTTAACAGGCTACAATTTTAGCAAATAAATAATTCTAATGGCATTGAGTGAATCTCATCACTCTCTCTCTCTCTCTCTCTCTCTCTCTCTCTCTCTCTCTCTCTCTCTCATTTTCTTTTTTTTTTTATGAACATTTTTATCTTCCTCTGCTAATTTGTATTCCACTGTAATTATATTGATTTCAATGGACCTATCGTATTCTCGCTAACGATTAATTATCTTGCTATTGTCTAATCGGATTTGCTAATAAGTGAAACATTCAAATAACATGGATAATGATTCATTTCAGATGGATGCCATGTCAGTTGAAAATTGAAACGAATATCTGCAGCGGCGAATACGATGGCATTATTCTGGTGTCAGGAAGTACCCCTGGATCCAACGAGCCGGAACCCTTCAAAACCGTCCTCTATACCGCGGCCCAGATCGATGCTGCACTGGGCGTGATCGGCGCGGTTTTGCCCATCAATTTGCTCGCAAAAAGGCTCATTTACAGCCCAACGGGTCCGCTTAACATGGATTATCACGATGTGCGGAGTTTCGCAGAGGCAGCTACGAAGGGAATAAAACGGTAATTCTTTTGTATTATCCCGCACGCTTTTCTTTCTTTTTATAGGTTTTTTAACGTAAATGCCAAACTAACGGAACCGTTATGTCTACAGAAATATATTTTTTATATGTATTATATCAATTTATTTTATCAGCTTTCAAATACGATTTTATAATACATTTAAATAAAAATATAATATATTGAATAAAGATATGAAGAAGCGATATGTATTATATTGTAATCGGGTAATATATATTCAAGTCCGCATTTATTAGCTGAGCAAAAGCGTACCGTCAAACGTCTGCCTAGTTAAACCCCATCACTTAACTAAATCTTAATGAATAAATTATATAATAATGCGCTCTCAAAATCCGCAAAAAAATTTTTGCGCTCATTTTAACTAAAAAAAATTTTTTGTAAAAGAGCTGAGTAGACTGTCAGTCAGCCTCACTCCCCCCCCCCTTTTTCTACGTGTTAATAACAATCGATTTGGAAAATCAAATACATAGGATTTATGCACTATTTATGCACTTTCATATTTACATAGTTTGAATTTTTGCGCTGCATCCCTTAAGGCACTTCCTTTTTGGAGCAAATAGTCATATTCATCCCTAAGTCGTTTAAAATTGCAAAATTACACTATCTAACTATGTAAAATATATCTTTAATTTATGCACTACTGTTTCCAAGCAGATCCGATTTTTGCGCTACGACCCTTAAGGGTTAATTGGCTATTTTACAAAGTATTACATTTTTTATTGCCTTTAGCTTTTAATCTCCTTGGTAATTACGGACTAATAATTACCTATTAATTCAATTTCTTCATGTTATCAGGTAATTAAATAATAGTTGTCGATATAGCTATATAAAACCATTTTTATATAGAAGAGATGGTAATGCTATAAACAATAAAAGACAATGACAAGAGACAATAAAAGGGATGATATACATACAATGACACAATGCTATCAAAGCAACACCACGCACCTATACTGTCTCTTTTTAATTTCAGTTCAACAAGATTTCTACATGTTCAGTTCTTTGTCTATACATATACGAATCAATATTTATTGCAAAACACAAAAATATTTTTTCAATTTCTTGATTCTTTAACAATAATCACTAATAATTCAACAATATTTTTAATCTCTTTGGTATTTCTAATAAGCATTCTTCAACTATATAAGGGACACTTTACTAAATTCCACAATTGAAGCGCGCAAATTCCAGTGTTTTTCATTGTCCGGATATAATTGGATTTAGCGAGCATCCAGGAAGTGACGTTATATCTGCGTTCTTGTGTCGGCAATTTGCATATATTTGAAAAAAATCGTTGTATTTTTTTCGAGCTCGTTACAATTAATCGAAATCGGTGTGAGAGTAATTAATTAAGTGCTCTTGATTGTATGTGTTTACAATTTTGAACATCTTCATATAAGCATCGAGTGTTCATTCACTATCGACATGATGGTCTTGCAACGAAACGAGCCACAAACGATTGTCAGCGTTTTGTGTACTCCAATAGCTGCATACGGGAAACGCAATGATGTACGAACGAAATTCCGCGCGAACCATACGCCTGTCCGTCGCGAAATTCGATTGAAAAATGAAATTCCTGTCCGTTTGGCACAACTGTTTTTTTTTTTTTTTTTTTTTTTTACGCGGACAGTGACGTTAACGAAAGATTGGCATGGATCAGCACGTTCTATGTTAGTAGAAAAAAGTAATGAACGTATCTTGCGTATCAATTTAGGGTAAAGCGAGATAATTTGGATAGGTTAACATTGCAGAAATTGTAGTGTACGTTTTGTATGTTTAATTACACTATACGATCTCGATCTTTTACACAATTTCAAAATTTTTATTAATATATCCCAATTACCTTACTTTACTCTATACGCATTTTGTTTTAATGGTAAGTATTTTTTAAATTTGGTTCCAACTTACAATTTTGAATAATATCAAGAGCGGGCCAATTTTAATAAATATTTAAAATATTATGTAAATAATATAAACAGTAAACAACAAAGTAATAAATTAAAAATAAAGCATAAAGGATAAAGCTCATAAACTCTTGGATGCCAACTTTTGTATAATTATTTGAAAGTATAATTTGCTTACACTTGTAATTTACTTTTTTCCTTATGCAAACCTTCGTAGTATTCTCCGGAGGAAACTGGTCACAGCCTTCGAATTTTATTCTTTTAGTCTGTATTTTATTACCAATATTTTCTGCGGACAAAACTGTTATCGCGCTCCGTTACATATCTAAGCAATAATGTGGTTTACTTTTAAGATTTCGAAATAATAGCGATGCACGGTTCTACGCGACATTAATACCAAACTCAAATCAGAAGTACTTTGTTGAATTGAGAATAGAACGGGAGATTTGAGAACTGTGATATAACGACAGTTTCTCGAAATTACCAAGTACGAGACATCGCACGCAACGCATCAGGAACATTTAACAAAGTTTAAACATGATAGCAATATACTTCAGGAATAGATTAATAGTTCGTGATTCGCAAAAGTGAGAGGCACCTTCGGTTATACAGCTCACGTTTGTATTACACCCGACAAGATGAAAATTAGATACAAAGAGAGCGAGAATGGCCATTCGTGTCTCGAGATACTCAATGAGAATCGTACTTGTCCCCAGAGAACTCATTTCTCTTCTTTTTTTTTGCATGAACGTCCTCTGGAGTGTAATATTATTGCAGGTTCTATGGTAGCAATATTACTGCGTGGATTATGATGTCCGCCGACAATCATCAAATATAAACGATATGTCCGCACCGTAATTACTGTCAACTTCCTTTTGAGTCTATATACGTGATTCCTACTGCCTTTGAATTTTATTTTTACGATATTTCTTGATCCTTTACTTAGATCTTTTATTTAGATTCTTTTTATAACTGACTCTTATATGCCCTTTCTATTAGTTATTTGACATTAAGAATCCTTCATTTTGATTAATTTAGATTCTCAGATTGGTATTCTACTACTATCGATTTATCTGTTAATAGGATAATTCTTGACCGATTGAGTCTTTTGTTGATCATCACTTTTTTAAAGAAATAATAGAGTTAATTTATGGGAAACGAGAAAAAAATTTTTGTTTCGCATATACACAGGATTTATCTAATCTGGGTAATTTTGGATTAGAAAAGACTAAAGTAAAATATTATATAATCTCTCTAAAATTCATTTCATTATATGATCAAATATTATTGTATTAGGATAATATATAATTCATCAATGTAACTGAGTTTATGACTTTTCTGCATTTATTAGGGCTTTAAAAGCTGGGGTAAAATGTCCTTTGTTGGTACTACTGCCAGATGATCGTTTTGAGAACGTTGAGCTAGTCACGCTTCTTGGTGCTTTGGAGGGTCTCTATGTGGTGAGTTCTATTACAATAAATTGTTTGTCATAATATTATAGTTAATATTATAGTTAATATCGAAATAATATATTAAATAGATCATATCGTATCTTTTATCTGGGAAGTAGAATATTAAGTGATTTAAAATATTATTAATAAAACAAAAAATTTATAACTGCACAAATGTACGATTTATATAGTAAGATAAATAAATAAAATTAATTACTTTGTTATTAGAACCTCATGCCTGGAGACGTTTAAGAAAAGAGTCTCTGTTAGCTTATTTAATTCAATCGAAAATAGCAATAAAAACAGATTTCCCACTCATAACGATTGCTAAATGTGGAAAAGTTAGAGCGATCGGTACTAAACGTTACTGAGATAGTAGAATTTAAAAATAGAAATGGGAAAAATCGCTGGCTAAAATTGAGAGAATCGATAAGCGAATGTTACTCGATTGTGCCAATATATCCGGTTAAGGCATTTCGCAGATAGTTGGTACAGTTGTGGTTATACGAGAGCCGTTTAAACCAATCAAACAGATACAACATAGCTTTGTGCGCATCTATACATTGGCAGAATAGGAAGCCTGTAGTTGTATCTGGAAGGAATTCATCTCCGTGTTTCAGCCGAGTTTGGTGTGCTGCGGTCTGATTGGCTGCCCCCAAGTTACTCACCATATTCTAACTCTAGTAAATCCGTCTCTAAATCCCATCTCTAAACTAAATTACTATTGTGATTTTAATCCATAACTAATGACTAAGTGAGCTGTGCAACGCAATTCAACTAATCTATAATATTCTACGAAAACAGAATTAATGTCCGATCGTTCCAATAAGATTCTATTCGCTATAATCGAATAATATTACTATAAACCTCTGGATATTTATTATTTAATAATTATGAGAAGCTAGGATACATGGATAATTTGCAAACATTTGCATTTCACAAATGATTAATGCAAGTATTATAATCCATGCTATGCATCCAATGTAGACTGATTACAACCACTCGATGCTGACAAGCGACCGTATATTCGAGCTTTCAAAATGTATTTTTCTCGGATACGAATATATGTGACAGCGACAAAGGATAACATAACTTCAGCACAAGACATCAGCCAAGGATAAGATCATAAACATTTCAATAAACAAGTTCGTTCAATATTTTGAATAAACGATAGCCCAATGACAGATACCGACGGCAAAAAGTGCGGTCAACACTATCATCAAACAACATCTGCCACAGACAGACTCCGGCGCGGTCTGTGCTTGATCGATAAGTGTTCAGCGTGTCTTACAGAGGATATTGGGTTGCACAACTCGATTGCGAGCTCCATTGTTCATTAACCTCAGCGCCGCCGCGGTTAATTACGGTCGGACGATAGTATCCGCGTTATTATGCGAACTTCCAAGTCGGAAGTTATCCGGCACGAGTATACGGTACGATCGATTTGTGAATTCTATAGTAGCTTTACCAGTGCGAGTCGCACGATCGACTACATACGTCACTCACGCACGCGTACATACATTCAACAATTAAAAATATTTAATTGAATACAGTCTTCCCGTAAACGTCGTGAATACCAAATTTCAAATATCTTGCTGGCATAGAAATACTGACTGATAAAACAGAAAACTTTTGTAACGATTTGTAAGAAAATAATGTATTAACCTACAATGAATGAAAAAAATGGTTGCCATAATTTATAGTCTTTTATCTATAGTCATTTTTGGGACTATACAGGGTGTTCAGCACAACGATCCGCACGATTTTTCAGACACTTCCGGCAGTTCAAAAAAAGAGTAAAGGATGAAAGTATTCCTCTATTTTATATAGGCTACAACATTCGTTAAAAAAATTAAAAAAAAATTTTTTTCATAAAAAAATCAAAGTCATCTTAAATTTTTTAAATAGCACCATTCAATTTTTTTTGTAATTCTTCTATCGCATGTTGTAGCTTGTGTAAAACAAATAAATATTCACCTTTCAACTTTTTTTTTATTGTAACTGTCGGAAGTATCTGAGAAATCATGCGGACCGTTACGTTAAACACCCTGGGTACATTTATAGTTATTTCAACCATGCAAATATAGTTAATTGTGCTATTAATAACAATCACACACAATGTTTGAAAATTTTTAATTCTTCCTTAACACATTTTTTATGTTATTATTACCACATAAATAATAAGTGAATTTAAGAAAAAGACTATAATTCACTATAATTGCAATTGCATTTACTGAATAAAAATGATTTTATTTATATCATTTATCTATATTTTGTCGTTTTATTAATACTTGAAATTATCATAATTTATAGTACAATTTTTTTCTTATTTTAAAGAACCATATATATAGTTATTTATTACTAACATTTTAGCAATAATAATCATAAAAAAGAGCTCCTACACCATAATTATTTTATCATGCAATTATAGTTACAAATAGCAAACACTTTTTTCTCAGTACAGTTTAAAAAATTACTATGTTATTCCAAAAGTTTAAAACACTGTGTCAATTAAAGCAAACTTATAACTACTTTTTGTATAAAATAAAACAATATTTTAAAGGTAAAAAGTAGCATTTTGTACAATTTCTATATATATATATATATATACATATAAATTTTGCAGTTGACTTATTCTTTTATTAAATTTCAATATTCAATAGTAAGTGTTAATATAGTATTGATTCATCCGTCATAAAATAAAATGACTGTTGAAGTAAAGACAAGATCTAGACATTCATCTCTTGACGAAGATTAAAGAAAGAGTGATAACTTTAAACCGATAAAGTAAAAGCAGTTGCAAAAGAAGAAGAGCACTACGCTTGTGATCAGTGTAGATTACACGCTAGATAGGACAAGAGACTTGTTCTCAGTCTTTGTATCATGGAGAAAGACCTATGAAATCTTTTGGATCTTCGCTGGGATGAACATTATTTATTATAAAGAGAATTTAAAAAAATTCTAGATATAAGATAGTAGTACTCCTCAAAAAAGTAAAAACTACCTAAACAACATATGTCAAAAAATATACTTTATCGGAAATAGAAGCATATTTCTATTTTGATAAGATAAGAGATTTCTTTGCATTTCTACTGAATGTCTTTTTTTAGATAAATTAATTTTTTATTCTGCACATAAAAAGATTCGATTATCACCAAAAAATAAATTAATTAAATGTAACAAATATTTCATATCTTTTATTGATACAAATCGGTGATATAATTTAATATTATTATTATTTTTAATAGTTTTATGTTAAAAGTTACTCCATTAATGTCATTAATTTGTTACACCATTGCATTCAAATTTAAACCGAGATTTAATTATTTCTTTCGGGACTTAAGCGTGACAAAGCTTATCTAATAGTGAATGTTCTCATAATTCGTTGCGCTCATACATAACAGACATTCTTTTGCATAAGTTCAAGGACCAAAATTCTAAGTTCGGATCACCAAGGGAGGAGTAGTTGGTCGGGGCTTGCTTGTGGGCGGCAACGGGGTGTAGCAAGAGGTTAGGAGGGTAAGCCGAGTGCTCTGCCCTATCAAGAGTAGCAAATGCTTGGCGTTCCTGAATCCTGGCGGCCGGCGAGGCGACCTAATTAGCGAAATACTCGGGTCCCCCCTCGTCTCGCCTCACCAACCGCTCAGCCTGCGGCACAGGAACGTTGTTGGCACCAAGCTCATACGCTTCTTTCTTGATAGTTCCCTCTTCTGACCCTCTTTCCTCTCCTGCTTGTCGCTCGTTCCTTCCGTCCGACGCAAATACGGGGCATCGTTTTCCAAATACCAGGAAGCGCCCTCGGAATTTCTGCGCCGCGTAATCGGAACACCGCGTTGTCGCGAATCTCGCATCGGTCTCTTTCTCGTTTCTCTTGCAGCTAGCAGTTTTCCGACTTTTTCAATTCTTTCTGTTCGCTCGCAAGCTGCATGAACGCGCACCAGAACGCGTTCAACACAAAAGGTCGCTCATGATAAAACGAACCGCACAC